CAGGCAGAGGCTAAATTAGCACCTCCTTAGATCCAAGAGCCAGTATACTCAGGGGTCAGAGTGAGACCATCCAATTACAACTCCTCAGATGCATAAGGGACACACTCAGGGAGCAGACTCAGTAAGCACCAAAGCCCCACAGAAGCAAGTCTTGCCCCGGAGGGGTGTCTTCAGCACAGAAGTTCTCCCACTGCAGACACAGCTGATTCTCACTGCCAATTGGCCTGGAGGTCAATTCCTCCCAGTGATCCTACAACAATCAAGGCTCAATCAAGACTGTGCACAAAGCCCACTAGGGGGTGCACCAAGAGTGTCCACCTCAGGTAATTGGGGAGGCTGAGCCACTGGGCCCCATAGGACACCTAGCACACAAAGCCACTCTACCAACACAGGGAAGAATAAAAAATACGGAGACAAAGAAACAGGTCACAAATGACAGAAATGGAGGAAAGCAAACGACTGGATATAGAGTTCAAAACCACACTTTTAAGGTTTTTCAAGAACTTTCTAGAAACCGCTGAAAAATTTAGTAAGGCCCTCGAAAAGTCTGGTGAGACCGCCGATAAATGTAGTGAGATCCTCAAGCAATCTAGTGAGACCCTTGAGGTTATGAAAAAGGACCAACTAGAAATTAAGCATACACTGACTGAAATAAAGGATATTATGCAGAGTTCCAACAGGAGACTAGAGGATTGCAAGAATCAAGTCAAAGATTTGAAATACCAAGAAGCAAAAAACACCCAACCAGAAAAGCAAAATGAAAAAGAATCCAAAAAACGAAGATAGTGTAAGGAGCCTCTGGGACAACTTCAAGCGTACCAACATCCGAATTATAGGGGTGCCAGAAGAAGAGAGAAAGCAAGATATTGAAAACCTATTTGAAGAAATAATGACAAAAAACTTCCCCTACCTGGTGAAAGAAATAGACTTACAAGTCCAAGAAGCGCAGAGAACCCCAAACAAAAGGAATCCAAAAAGGACCACACCAAGACACATCATAATTAAAATGCCAAGAGCAAAAGACAAAAAGAGAATCTTAAAAGCAGCAAGAGAAAGAAACTCAGTTACCTACAAGGGAGTACCCATACGACTGTCAGCGGATTTCTCAACAGAAACTTTGTAGGCCAGAAGGGAGTGGCAAGAAATATTCAAAGTGATGAATACCAAGAACCTACAACCAAGATTACTTTACCCAGCAAAGCTATCATTCAGAATTGAAGGTCAGATAAAGAGCTTCACAGATAAGGAAAAGCTAAAGGAGTTCATCACCACCAAACCAGGATTATATGAAATGCTGAAAGGTATTCTTTAAGAAGAGGAAGAAGAAAAAGGTAAAGATACCAAATATGAACAACAAATACACATCTATTAACAAGTGAATCTAAAAATCAAGTGAATAAATAATCTGATGAACAGAATAAACTGGTGATTATAATAGAATCAGGCACATAGAAAGGGAGTGGACTGACTATTCTTAGGGGGGAAAAGGGTGTGGGGGATGCGGGAGGAGACTGGACAAAAATCGTGCACCTTTGGATCAGGACAGTGGGGGTGAGGGCAGAGGGTGGGGGGTGGGGAACTGGGTGGAAGGGAGCTATGGGGGGAAAAAAGAGGAACAACTGTAATAATATGAACAATAAAGATTTAATTTTTTAAAAAAATACGTATTTCAGCCCTATCCGGTTTGGCTCAGTGTTGGCCTGTGGACTGAAGAGTACCAGGTTCAATTCCGGTCAAGGGCATGTACCTTGGTTGTGGGCACATCCCCAGTAGGGGGTATGCAGGAGGCAGCTGATCGATGTTTCTAACTCTCTCTTCCTCTCCCTTCCTCTCTGTAAAAAATCAATAAAGTATGTGTGTATGTGTGTATATATATATATATATATATATATATATATATATATGTGTGTGTATATATATATATGTGTGTGTGTATATATACACACACACACACACATTGATCTTTCACAGAGAGGAAGGGAGAGGGATAGAGAGCTAGAAACATCAACTAGAGAGAAACATCAATCAGCTGCCTCCTGCACATGCCCCACTGGGGATGTGCCCGCAACCAAGGCACATGCCCTTGACCGGAATCGAACCTGGGACCCTTCAGTGTGCAGGCTGACGCTCCATCCACTGAGCCAAACCAGTCAGGGCAATAAAGTATATTTTTTAAAAACTACATATTTCAGCCGAAACTGGTTTCGCTCAATGGATAGAGCGTCAGCCTGCGGACTGAAAGGTCCCAGGTTCGATTCTGGTCAAGGGCATGTACCTGGGTTGCGGGCATATCCCCAGTAGGAGATGTGCAGGAGGCAGCTGATTGATGTTTCTCTCTCATCGATGTTTCTAACTCTCTCTCTCCCTTCCTCTTTGTAAAAAATCAACAAAATATATTAAAAAAAATAAAAATAAATAAATAAAACCTACATATTTCAGAGAGGAAGGGAGAGGGAGAAACATCAATGAGAGAGAATCATTGATCCGCTGCCTCCTGCACGCTCCACACTAGGGATCGAGTTCACATTCCGGGCATGTGCCCTGTCCAGAATCAAACCCAGGACCTGTGCATCCACCGGCCAATGCTCTATCCATTGAGCCAAACTGGGTAGGGATATCATACCCTTTTACAATGAGCTGGTAAACAGTAAGTGGAGTGTTTGCCTAAACCTTGTAAACTGCCCGAGCAAATGAGCTGGACCTGAGGAGGGTCATGGGAACCTCTGACATACAGCGGATGGGTCAGAAGCACAGGTGACAACCTGGACTTGAATGACCTCTGAAATGGGGGCGGACTTATTGGCTGAGCCCTTAACCTGTGGGCCTGAGCTCTCTCCAGGTGAATGGTGTCAGAACTGAGTTAAATGGTGGAACACCAGCTGGTGTCACAAGATGGCCTGGTGTCAGGAGCACTGTGTCAATGTGAATGAGAAACCCAGGAGGACTGGGTTCCCCACACAGAACAACACTGAAACTCTCGGGTACTCTTAACCCCTTCCTGTAGCTCTACCCTCACACCTAAGTTTTACTCCTAGTTAATACCTGTGGATGACAATCAGGGCCTATTCTACGTCTCACATACTCTCCTTAACCTCTCCTCATTGATAGCTGTACTATGTGTACAAGGTTGCCAAGAAATCTGGAAATATAAATGAATACATATGAATGGTTTGTTGATACATTTCAGGACATTATAAATAACTAGAGGCCTGGTGCACTCAGGAGGGGGTCCCTCAGCCCGGCCTGTGCCCTCTTGCAATCTGGGAGCCCTTGGGGGATTCCAACTGACAGCTTAGGCCCGCTCCCCACAGGGACATCCTTAGCATTGCCATGGAGACAGGAGAGGCTCCCGCCACTGCCACTGGACTCACCAGCTGTGAGCCTGGCTCAGGGCTTCTGGCTGAGAGGCACTCTTCCTGTGGGAGTGCACTGACCACCAGGGGGCAGCTCCTGTATTGAGCGTCTGCCCCTTGGTGGTCAGTGCAAGTCATAGCAATGGGTCATTCTGCTGTTCAGTCGATTGCGTATTAGCCTTTAATTATATAGGACAGTATCTATTTCCAGACGTTATGGCCACCCTGCATACTGTGGAAGCACATAGCTACCACATACTACACTGCTTCCATTATAACCACCATTTACTCTTAGCCATGCAGGTAAACAGAAGTTAACCGTCACTGCTAGGGAGAGACACTGATGTCTCTTCAGTTGCTCTGATTGCCTGCAGCTTGTCCTCTGGACTCCTCAGGAAGTGCTGTTACCCAGAATAGTTTCTTTGCCCGGCCCGCATGGCTCAGTGGTTGAGCGGCGACCTATGAACCAGGAGGTCACAGTTCGATTCCCAGTCAGGGCACATGCCTGGGTTTTGGGCTTGATCCTCAGTGCGGGGTGTGCAGGAGGCAGAAGATCAATGATTCTCTCTCATCACTGATGTTTCTATCTTTCTCTCCCTCTCCCTTCCTCTCTGAAATCAATAAAAACGTTAAAAAAAAAAATAGTTGTGTTTTATGGTGTATGGGGGAGATAAACAGCAATTTCCAATAGAGGGAGGCTTAGATCCTCCCAGGAAACAAAGCAGGCCAGTGTGCTGTACAGGACTGCCTGCACTAGGTTCTGTCATCGTCCTGTTCCATGTCCAGCACCAGCTCCTCACCTGCCTCAGCCAGTCCACAGCACACCTGGGCTCCAGGGAATGAAGGAGGACAAGGAGTCACGTGAGGACCACGGCCAAGATATGCTTTTCTTTCCAGGGACAAATCTGAGTCAGCTGCTTTTTAAAATATTATTCCTTTGTTATCGTGTCTGGGAAGATAAAGCAGTGGCCCCTACAAACAGGCCTCAGCAGTGCTGCCTACCGACTGTGCCATGGTGTTATCTGGGTCTGTACTCACTTTGCCTTTCACCCTGGGAAGCAGGGCGCTGCCATCCCCACGCGAGTCCAGTGCCCAGTGCACCCAGCTCCTATGTCCCCACGTAAGGCCTCGACCCCAGGTCTGGCTCTCAAGTCCATGCTACCCTGCGCCACACTGCCCAAGAACACACCTCTGGGGGACCCTGGCTCGTCACTCGTCAAAGACCACCTGGAAGCTGATAAAAGCGGGGTCAGTTATGCTAGAAGAAAAGGGTTGCTGCCCATCTGGCGTGGCTCAGCAGTTGAGCATTGACCTAGGAACCAGGAGGTCACGGTTCAATCCCAGTGTAGGGTGTGCAGGAGGCAGCCAATCAATGATTCTCTCATCGTTGATGTTTCTATCTCTCTTCCTCTCTCTTCCTCTCTGAAATCAATAAAAATATTTAAAAAGAAAAAAAGGGTTGCTATTCAGCTAATTTTCTCACATTTACATACTCTTAGCTTCTAGGAAAAAAAGGTCAGGGTAGTGTCATCCAAGGAAGTGAGTAAGGAAGGAGCCCAAGGTGCCTGCCTGCTGAGAGGTTGTCTCCAAGGCCAGCCTTCTGCAGTTGCCAGGCAACCAATGTAAACAGCAGGAAGTCACAGGATCATGGCCACTAACTACAGTGCCAACCAGGTAAGTTCTCTTTTTCCATCTCTTTAACGTTTTTAATTTTGCCTTCAAAATTCTACCTTTGGACTGACACCTCCCCTAGGATTCTGGTCACTGAACGGAGGGCTGGCTGAGAGGGGGTGAGGGAGAATTTCCCAGCTCCTCAGGGTAGGGAGGGCCCACGGACCAGCAAAGGGCATCTCTGGGTTACTTGTAAGGTCTAAACCAGCGGTCAGCAAATTTTCTGTAAAGGGCCAGAAACTAAACATTTTAGGCTTTGTGGGCCAAGTGGCAAAATAAGAAAGTACAATTACATAACAACAGAAAACACAAAATTCAGAGTGTAACAACTGAGTGCCATTGTTTATAACGCTAATGAAAAGAATGGATTCTTTTGGGAGAAACATTTTGCCTGATTGGGATACAAACTTAGTGTTCCCTTTTCTCAAATCAACTGCAAATGTTCATCTATAAAAACCGTTCTCCGCTCTCTCAAGCAGTCCGGGCGGATCTGGCTCACGGCGTTTGCTGACCGCTGGTCTAGACAAGCGTGGTCTAACAAAAAGATAGTGTGAATCACAAACGCAAGTTTAACTTCCTAGCAGCTACATAAAAGTTTTAAAATGGTTAATTTTAATAATCTCATTTAGCCCAATAAATCCAAAATATTATTTCAACATTTAATCATCAATATTTTAGAAGTTACAGTCAAATGTTTTACGTTCCCTTTTTTGTACCAAGGCCTTCAAATCCCGCGTATTTTTTGTTTACAAGCACCTGTGTGGACTGTCACATTTCAAGTGCTCAGTAGCTGTCACGTGTGGCTAGAGCAGCGGTTCTCAACCTGTGGGTCGCAACCCCTTTGGGGGTTGACCGACCCTTTCACAGGGGTCGCTTAAGCCCATCGGAAACAAATATATAATTACATATTGCTTTTGTGATTAATCACTATGCTTTAATTATGTTCAATTTGTAACAATGAAAAGACATCCTGCATATCAGATATTTACATGACGATTCATAACAGTAGCAAAATTACAGTTATGAAGTAGCAACGAAAATAATTTTATGGTTGGGGGTCACCACAACATGAGGAACTGCATTAAAGGGTCACGGCATTAGGAAGGTTGAGAACCACTGGGCTAGAGGCTCCATTAGGACAACACACATTTAGTCCAAACTACACTGTCTTACTGCCTCCCAGGCAGTGCAGGCCTTTGATCCTCGAATCCAACGACCTCTGTGGCTGTCATCTCCAGGCGGGGCTTGGAGCTCAGAGGGCTTCCCCCCTTTCTATCCACAGTACGAAAAAGCATTCTCACCCAAGTATCTGCAGAACTGGTGTCTCGCCAAGCCAACGAAAGAGGTATCCACGTGTTTCTACATCGCTCACTGCCACCAGCCTTCTCCCCACATCCTCCACTCCCTCAGCCCTCACTCAAGCCCTGATACTCCCTCCACTCTCCCAGCGCTTCTCTTCCACTTTCCCCCAGAGCATTCCTTCCCACGAAGGCTACACTCAGATTATCGCCAACGACCGTGGCCATCTGCTGCCTTCAGTGCCCCGTTCCAAGGTGAGACACTCGCCTCCGTTCTTACCAACAACTGGAGCACTGGGGAAGGTGCAGTCCCCTGCTGCCTGGGAAGCTAAGTCCGGTCTCATTCACACTGGAACACGAGTGCCCCCAAGCTGCCAGCCAGCCTACCCACAGGGCAGGGTATTAGCATCAGGTCCCTGCACTATGGGTGACCTATGTAAAACGGATGCCCACGGCGGTGATGCTTCTGCGGTGGGCAAGCTGCCAAACAGCCCGAGGACGCAGACGTGAAGCCAGCAGAGGTCAGGCCACGGAACAGGGTCACTGAGTGGGGGGAGGGGCTCACTTCCAGTCGTTTCATTGCCACCCAGTCCCAAAGGAAAAGGATGGAAGCCAGATGGATACAGGGTCTGCCAGGGTCTGCCACTGCCAGGAGTGAGAAGTCCTGCTTCTTCCTTTTAGGCAAGTCCTTGGGGTACCTTCATGGGCACCTGGGAGATGCCTCTGAAGATACCCCCTGCTCGGGTGACCCTGACGTCCCGTACAGCTGCTGGTGCTGCCTCCCTCACCAAATGGATCCAGAAAAATCCTGACTTACTCAAGGCCTCCAATGGGCTTCGTCCAGAAATCTTGGGCAAGGTACCTACTCATCCCACCTAACCTCCAATCCCAGCGTCTCAATTTCAACCCAAAGTTATGCCTCTGCTACTCCAGCAGAGGGACCTCTAACCATCTGTCTCGCGGTGTAGTCCCTCAGCACCTGGGTGCTTAAGGGCTGAGCTAAGGACATCTGCCCCCAAGCACAAGGCCATCTGACCTCACCAGGGTCAGTGCATCAGCTCTAACTCTTCTTGTTTGGAACACGACCTTTGGCCCATGGTGTGGGGAGAGACACTTAGAGTCCTCTGGATCGGGAATGACTAGGCCTGACCAGGCTCTCTCCTGTTCCACCCGACAGCCCCAGGACCCAGCCAGTCAGAAGAAACCCCAGAACTCTGTCCAGCAAGCACCAAGTCCAGCCATCATCCCAAGGTCCCCAGCCACAGACCTCAGTTCCCCAGATCAACCCCCAAGTGCACACCCCTCGGCAGGTCACACTCCAGGTCCCCTCAGCCCAGCCAGCACTCCCAAGTGCCCACCCGGGAGCCCATGCACATAGGACCAGGGTGGGTCCTACTGGAGCCGGGCCAGGAACGCAAAACCGGGACTCCGCGGGCCCCACTGAAGAAGCCTGTCTAGAGATGAGTGAAGTAAGAGCCCGTCGGGGAAATGACAGGAATAAAGGTGAATTTGGAAAATAATCACCACTGTTGACTCTTGTACTGATTTTGATTTTTCCCTCCTGCCTCTTATCACCAACAACCAGAAGGGTTGGGGGAACGGGAAACATGACAAAGGCTTGGGGGACACATGTGTACAAGGACCAAGTTGGTTATACTCCAGAAATGGCCAGAAGTCGGTGGGAATCACAGCACCCACTCCCACACCCGGATTTTCCTCCTGAGCACCCCAAGGACACTCACTGTGCACTGTGCAGCATGCTCGTCTAGAATCTGAGGCCACGATTTGGAGCAGCCTCTTTGGTCTAAGTTGCTATAAGCCATGTTACTGACCAGCAGGTGGCTGGCTCTAATGGCTGCTTGCAGAACAGGTGTGCTGTGAGCCCCAGGCGCTGGCTCAGACACTAGCTCCTACGCAGGAGGCTGCTTTGTGGGAAGGATGCATTGTTCACCAGCCGGGTGCGGCTGCCTGCTTCTGGGACTGCTTTGAAGAACTGTTTTGTCAGATGGCTCCTTGTTAGCCATAGCTACTTGGGCTACAATAAAGACTCTCTTCTATGCCCACGACTTCTCATGTCTTCTCCGTCCAATACCCAGCGTCCCAGCAGGTCCCATCCCTGGCAGAGGAGCTTCGGACCCAAGCTGGCGTCATCGAGCAGGAGGGAGTGAGTCCTCCCAACACTCCTTCCTTCTCGGAGGCGCCTGCGTGGCAGGACATCTCTGCTGCTTGTACTGAGTCCCTGAAAACCTTCCCAGCTGCAAAACAGACCGTTTCTCTCCTGAGCGAGGTCAGATTGGGGGACGGAAATGCCTGCGGCCAGAGGGAAGGGGGGAACTGGCTCCTCCTCACCGCCATTCTCTTGGTTTCTCTAGATTTCAAGGAAGAGTCAAAGACAAAATTAGTATTTTAATTAATTTCAGAAAAAGATGTCACATGAATGTCGATTAGAAAACATGACAATTAGAGGCTTGTTTTTCTGGAATTGCAAGGAAAAGAAATAACCCTTAACAGGTTCAGCAATACTTTTCTGGATTTTTCTCTTGTATCAAAATCTATGTATCTTCTCCCCAAAGCACCTGCTTCAAAAGCCAACTCACCCTCTCTCTCTCCCTCTGGCCAGTACAGGCTAGCCCCCCACCATGTGGGTGCTAAGGACCCTGGGTCTGACCAGTGAACAGAACTATCCTTTAAGCCACAACCCACAGGCAGTGGCACCCAGAGCCCCACTCCCAGTCGGCATGGGAGAGGCCACAGAGCTGGCTTTGTTTCCACCGTCTCAGGAAGAGGAGCCAAGAGCTGACCCTCAGCACAAATCAAGGCCCAATATGGAGAGAATAAGGGCTCCTAGGCCCGCACAGGCTGCAAGCGGGGGCAGGGAGAGGGAGCTGCTGCAACACCCCATCTTTAGAAACAAGGGGGCCCTGGGACCCTTCTCACAGCTGAGCTCCAGGGACAGTGCAAGCACACAGGTCTGAACAGGCGAGAGCTGAGGAAATCAGGGAACTAATCATCTGGGGGAGGAGGAGCTGGGGCGGAGCTCTTCACATGGCGGCCAGCCCCACCGAGGACAGCACGCTGAGGAGCAGGACAGCCACCCCGGACTGGTACAGCTGCGGGACCTTCAGGCCTTTTCCCAGGTCCCACATCTGCAGAAAAAGGAAAAAGAAAGCATTTCAGCAATCAGGACCCTGGTCACAGCCACAACCCCCTTCTCAGAGGGAAACTGCACCTGGCGGGCAGCAGCCTCCAGCTGGCTTCCAGGGAAAGCCCTTCCCTCTCCACACCGCCGCCACGGGTGCCCACCCATGCAGCCCAGCCCAGCAAAGGCACCCGCGCCCTGTGGGCAAAAGTTTCCAGATGGAATCAACAAAGCTTTCCCGTGAGGACAGGACGTTCCCCAAAGTGCGTTCTTACAAAAACTCTCCTCAGAATGGTGAAAGGGTTACGGGACACACACACACACACACACACACACACACACACACACACACACCCCGACTCTCCTCAGAATGCTCAAAGGGCTGGGGGAGGGGTGTGGTCAGATAAACTTGGTAAACATTTAACTGCAAGACTTCCCAACAATTCATGGATGTGCACTGTGAGTCTCCAAAAGGGGGATTTCATAGGCATGACCTCCCAGATACAGTCACACAGAGCCCTCTGGAGAAGGGCTATCGGCCCTGAGGCCTAACTAGCATCTAGAAAAGACTCTTTGGAATCTAGAACACTATTTCTCAATTTTGTCTTGACTGTGACCCCCCACTAAGACAAAATATTTATATGTATTTTAAATATTTGTACTGATTTTTAGAGAGAAAGGGAGAGGGAGGGACAGAAACAGCAATGAGCGTGTAACATCCACACTGACCAGCTGGCTCCTGCCCATCACTACCGGGGACTGAACCTGAAACCTGAGCATGTGGCCTGACCCGGAATCAAACTGGCAACCTTCTGGTGCTGGGACAATGCCCAACCCACTGAGCGACACTGGCCAGGGCAAGAAATGTATTTTGAATTAGTACCCACTTATGTTAAAGGAGAAGCCACAGACTCCCAGACACACCCTCTCAGCCAACCACCTGGAACTTGCTGGTCAGCACCAGGAAGGCCACCTGGCACCTGGGCCTCTCCATCCCCCACAGAAGAGAGACAATCTGCAGGATAAAACCTCCTCTCCCCAGGGAAGGCCTGCCCCGACCCAAAAGCAACGCTTTCTTTTCTTTTGTCAACACCTCCCTTGCCTGACCGTTCTTCCTATAAAAACCTTGCCCTTGACACAACCCCTGGAGACTCCTCCCAGCTGCTGAAGGGGATGCTGTCCGCTCAGAAAGGCCTTAATAGAGCCAACCAGGTCTCTGAATGTACTCAACTGAATTTTATTAACATCTGCACAGAAGAAGCTCATGAAATAAAAACAACACTATAATCACCACGTGCTGCCTTCTATGTGCAATAATCCACCTAACTTTCCTTTCTTGTTGGTAGCAGCCCACTCATTGGTTTTCTACCCTTTGGGTCAAAACCACAATTTAAAACACTGACTCAGACTCTCTCGTGCCGTGGGAATGGACACATTGTGCTCGGAGCTGCTGAAGGATGGATCCCTTATGGTGAAAGGAAGGTCTTCAGATTCCACACTTTCCCACATGACTGCCCCACACACACCCGCCCACACTCTGAATGTACAAGTAAAAGTGACTAAATTAGCAGCACTTCAGAGAAAATCAAAAGGATGCCCCCCTTCAGCCCCAAACAGCTTCTCCCAGATCAGATTCATCAGGCCCAGTCTCACAGTGTGAGCCCTGCTGGGCGGGCGGGAAGGTGCTCTCTGGAGCACCAGGCATCAGCTCAGGGACAAGAGTCCCGGCTGCGCAGAACAGACGCCAGCTCCACACTCAGAGCCGCACTTGCTAAGAGGAACGTGACGGCAGATGTACGGGCGAAGGAAAGCCGCACTCTGGCTGGGTGGCTCGGCGGCATCCTGCCACCAAGAAAAGGTCGCGGGTTCAATGTTTCTCTCTCACATCAATGTTTCTCTTTCCTTCTTTCTCCTCCCTCCCTCCCTCTAAAAGAAAACCAGAATCAGCCAGGATTTAAAAACAAAACAAAAAACCACACCTTAGTTCTGAGATTCTCTACCCGCCCCCCCCGGCCCCCCCAGACTGAGAGGAAAGCCCACAGATGCAAGGCCCGCCTGGCGGCCGTGCCCGAGGAAGCTGGCCAGTGCTCCTGAGGGCTCTGCTCCGGGGAAGTCCAGGGAGGTGCAGCCATCACTGATGATACTGAGCGCTGTCCCAGAACAGCTGCCAGACGCACTGACGTTTACAGTCATCTGTCTCCCACTTCTCTATTCTTTTAACCTGTCTATTGGACACGACTGAAACACACAAAGTGCTTGTCTCTAGGCTCTGACATGGAAGCTATAAAAGGTCAATTCAGGCGAAAGCATCCATGTGACAGATGGCGCCGGCTGGGAAGTAACAGGAAACCAGACTGAACTGTATCTGTCTTCCTGGGAAAGGAAGCCAGACTAGGGGAGGGGAGACACAGAATTTGAAATCTCAAAGGTGCTGGAGGAGGGAGTGATCTTCTTTATAAAGAAGACACATGAGTCTAAACTGACCCCAAGGTTCTCAGGCCATCAAAACATTCCTAAACCCAATATTGAAATCTGGGACCCACCCTAGCCGGTCGGGCTCAGTGGACAGCGCATCGGCCTGCAGACCACAGGGTCCCAGGTTTGATTCCGGTCAAGGGCACATATCTTGGTGGCAGGTTCCTTCCAACCTGAGTCCCCCATGCCACCCTCCCATGCAAGAGGCAACCAATCGATGTGCTTCTCTCACATCGATGTTTCTGTCTTTTCCTCTCTCTTCTACTCTCTCTAAAAATCAATGGAAAAATATCCTCGGGTGAGAATTAACCAAAAAAAAAAAAAAAAGAAAGAAATAAAAAAAACCCTGACATCCTAGGCACCCAGTTTCTGTTAACAATGGCCTTGTTTTCTCCAGTAGTTAAAAATAAACAAAGACCAAAAACAGGTAATAAAATTCAATGTCAAGATAGCAAAAGTCAGCCCTGGCCATTTTGGCTCAGTGGATAGAGCGTCGGCCCGTGGACTGAAGGTCCCAGATTTGATTCTGGTCAAGGGCATGTACTTCAGTTGCAGGCTCAATCCCCGGCCGTGGTTAGGGTCGAGTGTAGGAGGCAACCAATCGGTGTCTCTCTCACATCAATGTATCTCTCTCTGTCTTTCCACCTCCCTTCCACTGTCTCTAAGAATCAATAGAAAATATCCTCGGGTGAGGATGAACAACAACAAAAAGATTCAAAAGTCAGTGTATTTTGACACCAGCCACACCTCACTCTGGGCTGACA